ATTCTACAACATGTATGGACATTTTCTTCTGTGTGTGCTTTATATTCTTCATGTGTTTTAACTGTTGATTCTCTGACCTGTGTTGGTGATTTCAATGGTTTTGTTAAGTCCTCTGAGATGACTTCTGTTGTGACCTAGGGCTATACAAGAATAAATTGTATTGTATTGTAATTGTATTGTATTGTATTGAGGCGCCCGTCTTTTCGAGCGCCTTAATGTGGACCTCCTCATCTTCCTCATCTTGACTTTTTTTTTTTAAACTTGAGCACTGGGCTCCACCCATCACTCAGTCCAATGTGTTTGTAGTGATCTGTTGTCACGGCAACCGTGACAATATGCAGAATACAAGCTGCAGGCCACTCCACCTCCGCCGCCATGTATTAGCGTTAGCCACAGAACAGCGCAGAAGCTACGATGCTACTTTCTGCAGTGCTTCATCCCACGCTCTAGGGGGCGCAGGAGGGAGCACTGAGCGCTCTCTGATCTTGATCACAGACTCTACTTGTCCAGGGGCCGACGTTAAAGTGGTTCTCACCCCCGCTCCTCGGAGCTTAGGTCACTCACATTTCCTGTTCAAATCTTCCTCTAAATGGGCGTAGCCTGGAGGACTAAAGGGGGCGTGAACGAGACTGGGCCGTTTACATTGCTCTGGGCGGGGGGCTGCTGACGTCAGGTCTTGCTTCAGACGTCAGGTCTTGCTGCTGTGCCAGTGTTGGCGCCAGATTCAAAATTCAAATGTAGTAATACAGGTCGCCAGCAGATGGCGCCTCACAGACGGTTTTAGGCAGAAAGTTTAACTTTCAACTAATTTGCACCAAAGTGACAAAATTATGACCAGGATATGTAGACAACACTATTGGACACTCATTTATACCGTTTATCAGCAAAAAAAAGTGGATTTGAGGGTGAGTTGTCCTTTAAGGGCCCTGTGACATGTCATGGGAATGATATGGCACCGGGGAATGAGTGAAAACTGCACTGAATAAGGTCTGTTTTATCCACAAACTGTGGTAAAAAGCAAAATGGCTTTTCACATAATTTTTGTTTTTGAGAATCACATGTTACTGTGCACACGGGTATTCGGTCTTACATCACTTCAAAGTGCGAGACGGCCTTCTTTTGTGACAATGTTCAAATCCAGGTTTCGGTTGTTTTTAGAGCTTGTAAGTAAGTAAGTAAGTATTTATTTATATACCGCCTTTTCACTGCAGATCTGAGTCTCAAAGCGGTTTACAATTGTTAATTTTTTGTGCATTAGTCTCTCACTCCACATAGAGATGGGAGCGGGGTCGCCAGTACAGGAGGCGCATGCTAGAACTATTGGACATATTTTTAGTGGTAGGGGAAACCGGAGTACCCGGAGGAAACCTACGCAGACACGGGGAGAACATGCAAACTCCACTCAGAAAGGCCCTGGTCCGACCGGGATTCGAACCCAGGACCTTCTTGCTGAGAGGCGAGAGTGCTATCCACTCAGCCACCGTGCCGCCCAGCTTGTATTTTACATGTTGCTGCTTCAAAATAAATACATGTTTTTTTTCTTTGAGTTTAGAATAGAATGACAAAAGTGAACTGAAAATGTGGAGAAATAAAATAATAAATGAATAGTTTTCAGAGCAAAAAAATAAAAAATATCACAATATAAAATTCTGGCACATTTAAAATTCTAACTCTGATGGACTCTGATCTCCTTCCACACGGGTTCGGTTCACACGCGGCCCACATGTGCTGACCAAAGAGCCCGTCTCTATGACAACAGGTATGTGAAGGTCCTCTCATTCACGCCGCCCGTCGCCACGGGAACACACACAGAGCTCTTCAAACACACCCGCGCCGTTAATGAGAGCGCATAAAGACAGACGGGATTCTTTTCAGAGTCAGATTCTTTGCCATTTGCAGTAAAACCACATTGGAATACTTGCACAAGAGTCCTCGGTGTGTATCAGAGAAGTGCAGAGAACTAAAACAAGTTAAAAGTACAGAAATAAAACAAGCTAAACAAGGACAAGAGACATTTGCTACTGTGAAATCGACAACATAAATTAAAAAATAAATTGATAAAGTTCTTTGTATTATGTTTTATGTGTTTTTTTTGTTTTTTATGGCATGTTTTAGCGTGTTTTCATTGTTGTATTTTAATGCAGTGTTTTTCGACCAGTGTGCCATGACCAGTTAGTGCGCATGAGTTTAGTGAATCTGTCATACTGCCGGTGGTACAGTGGCCTCCAACGCTAACGAGTTCAAGCTAGCAACGTTTGTGTAAAGTTTTCCTCCACGTGTGCAGGTGCAGCGTCTGTGTCTGAGATCCTCCACAGACGTCATAAAACATCTGCTCAGAGCTCACATACATGTGTTATATTATTAACCGTTACTTCTGTATCAGCAAACACGTTAGCAGCAGTTAGCGCTATAGCCACAGAAGAATGTCCACTCAGGGTGAAGACACATGTTTACTGTGTCCTCCGTGGTCAGCCCTGGTTTCATCCTGCTTTAGCTCCTGTTTTCCCCGTGACCACTTTGCTGCTCTCTGATTGGTTGTCACACGAGGATGTCACGATTGTCTTTGCATCGAGACAATCGTGACTAGGGCGGCACGGTGGCTGAGTGGATAGCACTCTCGCCTCTCAGCAAGAAGGTCCTGGGTTCAAATCCCGGTTGGACCAGGGCCTTTCTGAGTGGAGTTTGCATGTTCTCCCCGTGTCTGCGTAGGTTTCCTCCGGGTGCTCCGGTTTCCCCTACCACTAAAAATATGTACAATAGGTATGGCATGTGCCTCCTGTACTGGCACTCCCAAAAAAAATAACAATTGTAAACCGCTTTGAGACTCCGATGTGCAGTGAAAAGGCGGTATATAAATAAAAGCTTACTTACTTACTGCTTACTTACTCGGCGTACTCCGGTGAGACTGCGGCTTATGAAAACTGGAGATAGAAGTGGACAGTGCACATTTTTACATGATTTGTGTATGTTTTTTTCCCGTTACTAATAATGTCAATAAAAATAGTTTTGATTCTGAATGAATTTGTGCACTATAAATATTGTGAATAATTTTGTTATTGTTATAATTTGTCCATATCACCAGCTCCACTAACCAACACTGACGCTTTCATTGCCTTCTTTTCATTTTTCACATCTGTCTCTTTTCTTCACATTTCAGATCTACCCCAGAAACTTTTTTTTTTAAATAAATCTGCGAGTGAAAATTCTCACTACTTTTCTGGCATTCTTGCAGAGTTTTGGGGACTCTTTCTGCTTTCATGCGATCTCAGAAACTCTGAGATATCTATGGAATCCTCCAAGTTCCCAAAATCATGGCAGAGGAGACGCACACACACACACACACATACACACACATACACACACACCTACAACAGCGACAAAAACAACACTAAAATGTGCAGAGAGTCTTTCTGCTTGTTCATGAGAAAGGCACAGAAACCTTCACTCCTGAGGTATGAGAAAGGGGCAGATATAAAGTCGCTGTATAATTAAAAAGTGCTTTTACAAACTCTGAATATATTATTAGCATATTTGTGCCTCATCGGGGAGTTAGCTCGAGTGCTAATGGTGTTCCCAGGGAAGTGTTGCTCCTAAATCATCGTCTCCTCTGTCCTCCAGAGTATCACAGCTGGAACTAACTCCTGTTCTGTCCTTTTAACCCTGAGATAGATCGCTCTCTCTCTCTCTCTCTCTCTGTCTCTCTCTCTCTCTCTCTTTGTCTCTCTGTTTCTCTCTGTCCCTCTCTCTCGGTCTCTCTCTCTCTCTGTCTCTCTCTCGGTCTCTCTCTCTGTCTGTCTCTCTCGCTCTCTCTTTCTCTCTCTCTCTCTCTCTCTCTCTCTTGAACTGTTAGCTGTAATTGTTTTTGATAAAACACATTTATATTAATAACCTGTAAATCATGAAACACATTTAAATCGTGGCGCCCACCGACAATCAAAGCACCAGCTGCCTCTGTTGGAAATGGGGAATTATCATGTATCCAACAGCCCGGGATCAGTGTGTGTGTGTGTGTGTGTTTACTTGTGTGTATTTGCTTGTATGTGTGTGCGTTTGCTTGTGTGTGTGTGTGTTTGCTTGTGTGTGTGTGTGTTTGCCTGTGTGTGTGTGTGTGTGTGCATGTGCTTGCATGTGTGTGTTTGCGTGTGTGTCTGTTTGCTTGTGTGTGTATGTGTGTGTGTTTGCTTGTGTGTGTGTGTTTGCTTGTATGTATGTGTGTGTGTGTGCTTAATACTATATGTGGTTTTTAGGTGTGTCTGTTTTTACCCAAACTGTAAAGTACTTTGTGTTGCGTTGTCTGTATGAAACGCGCTGTATAAAGAAAATTGTATTGACGGATTGGTGGACAGAGGTCAGGGACACCAGGGAGGCCACACACGCACAGACATCCAGAACCATCGATCTTTTTAGGAACACGTTTGCTCAATGAAGCCTGAAAGGGATGTACAGTACTCAGAATCAGAATCAGAATCATTTTTATTGGCACGTAAGTAACAGGAAGTCACAGACTTGGAAATTGCTTTGGCTCAGTGCAACAGTCAGAAAGAGATAATAAAAAATAAAAAATAAAAAACACTTCCAAGGAATAAATTAAAATTTAAAATAGAGTTACAGTTACTATTTACAATATACAAGTGCACATGGTGCACACAATGTAAGGTGACAGCAGTACAGTGAAGTAAAGTGACGTATGATGGGCAGTAAAGTGACTTTATAAAGGGCGGGGGGACAGGTTAAGAAGTGTTCAAGAGTCCAACAGCAGAGGGGAAGAAACTGTTCTTGTGGCGGGAGGTTCTAGTCCTGATGGACCGCAGCCTCCTGCCTGAGGGGAGTGGTTGGAATAGTCCATCTGCAGGTGAGAGGGGTCGGCTGTGATACGACCAGCCCGGCCTCGAGCTCAGGCGACGTACAGGTCCTGCAGCGATGGAAGGCTGCGGCCGATCACTTCCTCTGCAGAGCGCACAATGCGCTGTAGTCTCTGTTTGTCCCTGACTGTGGCTCACGGTGATGGAGGAGGTGATGGAGCAGGTGATGGAGGAGTTGATGGAGGAGGTGATGGAGGAGGTGAGGATGGACTCGATGATGGCCGTGTAGAACTGCACCAACATCTGTGCAGGCAGCTTGGCTTTCCTGAGCTGCCGCAGGAAGTACATCCTCTGCTGGGCCTTCTTGATGAGGGAGCTGATGGTCGGCTCCCACTTGAGGTCCTGGGTGATGGTGGTGCCCAGGAAACGGAAGGACTCCACAGAGGTGATGGGGGAGTCCATGACGGAGGGTGGGGGCGGGGGGACTGTGCTCTTCCTGAAGTCCACAATCATCTCCACTGTCTTCTGGGCGTTCAGCTCCAGGTTGTTACCACTGCACCAGGACACCAGCCGGTCCACCTCCCTCCTGTAGGCGGACTCATCGCTGTTGGAGATGAGACCAATGAGGGTGGTGTCGAGGCTTCACAGAGTCGTGGCTGGAGGTGCAGTGGTTGGTGTACAGGGAGAAGAGCAGGGGAGAAAGAACACAGCCCTGTGGGGCTCCTGTATTTATAATCCCAGAGTCCGAGACATTCTTCCCCAGACGCACTCGCTGCTTCCTGTCCGTCAGGAAGTCAGTGATCCACCTGCAGGTGGAATCGGGCAGGTTGAGCTGGGAGAGCTTGTCCTGGAGCAGGGATGGCAGGATCGTGTTGAAGGCAGAGCTGAAGTCCACGAACAGGACCCTGGCGTAGGTCCCCGGGGAGTCCAGGTGCTGTAGGATGTGGTGGAGGGCCAGGTTAATGGCGTCGTCTACAGATCCGTTGGCTCTGTAGGCGAACTGCAGGGGGTCCAGGAGGGGGGAGGTGAAGGACTTGAGATGGGAGAGGACCAGGCGCTCAAATGACTTCATGACAACAGACATACAGTGCCTTGCGAAAGTATTCGGCCCCCTTGAACCTTTCAACATTTCGCCACATTTCAGGCTTCAAACATAAAGATATAAAATTTTGATTTTTTTTGTCATGAATCAACAACAAGTGGGACACAATCGTGAAGTGGAACGAAATTTATTGGATAATTTAAACTTTTTTAACAAATAAAAAACTGAAAAGTGGGGCGTGCAATATTATTCGGCCCCTTTACTTTCAGTGCAGCAAACTCAGTCCAGAAGTTCAGTGAGGATCTTTGAATGATCCAATGTTGTCCTAAATGACTGATGATGATAAATAGAATGCACCTGTGTGTAATCAAGTCTCCGTATAAATGCACCTGCTCTTTGATAGTCTCAGGGTTCTGTTTAAAGCGCAGAGAGAACCATGAAGACAAAGAAACGCACCAGGCAGGTCCGAGATACTGTTGTGGACAAGTTTAAAGCCGGATTTGGATACAAAAAGATTTCCCAAGCTTTAAACATCTCAAGGAGCACTGTGCAAGCAATTATATTGAAATGGAAGGAGTATCAGACCACTGCAAATCTACCAAGACCCGGCCGTCCCTTCAAACTTTCATCTCAAACAAGGAGAAGACTGATCACAGATGCAGCCAAGAGGCCCATGATCACTCTGGATGAACTGCAGATAACTACAGCTGAGGTGGGAGAGTCTGTCCATAGGACAACAATCAGTCGTGCACTGCACAAATCTGGCCTTTATGGAAGAGTGGCAAGAAGAAAGCCATTTCTCAAAGATATCCATAAAAAGTCTCGTTTAAAGTTTGCCACAAGCCACCTGGGAGACACACCAAACATGTGGAAGAAGGTGCTCTGGTCAGATGAAACCAAAATCGAACTTTCTGGCCACAATGCAAAACGATATGTTTGGCGTAAAAGACACACAGCTCATCACCCTGAACACACCATCCCCACTGTCAAACATGGTGGTGGCAGCATCATGCTTTGGGCCTGCTTTTCTTCAGCAGGGACAGGGAAGATGGCTAAAATTTATGGGAAGATGGATGGAGCTAAATACAGGACCATTGTGGAAGAAAACCTGTTGGAGTCTGCAAAAGACCTGAGACTGGGACGGAGATTTATCTTCCAACAGGACAATGATCCAAAACATAAAGCCAAATCTACAATGGAATGGTTCACAAATAGACGTATCCAGGTGTTAGAATGGCCAAGTCAAAGTCCAGACCTGAATCCAATCGAGAATCTGTGGAAAGAAGACTGCTGTTCACAAACGCTCTCCATCCAACCTCACTGAGCTCGAGCTGTTTTGCAAGGAAGAATGGGCAAGAAGTCCAGTCTCTTGACGTGCAAAACTGATAGAGACATACCCCAAGCGACTTGCAGCTGTAATTGCAGCAAAAGGTGGCGCTACAAAGTATTAGCGCAAGGGGACCGAATAAAATTGCACGCCCCACTTTTCAGTTTTTTATTTGTTAAAAATGTTTAAATTATCCAAGAAATTTTGTTCCACTTCACGATTGTGTCCCACTTGTTGTTGATTCTTGACAAAAAAAATAATTGTTATATCTTTTTGTTTGAAGCTTGAAATGTGGCGAAATGTTGAAAGGTTCAAGGGGGCCGAATACTTTTGCAAGGCACTGTATATTACATCAAAATGAATCCATGCAAATGCAAAACTTTATCAATAATAATTAACTAAATTAGATGCAAAATATACCAAATTAAATCAATTGCCAAATAATCATAATTCTAATCGAATCACAAAAATAATGTATTTCGATCAAATAATAATACAAACAAAATAGTAATGTATTAAAATATAATCAAAACAACTAAACTTATATTTAGGCTTCAACAGTTATTATTAAATTTGGAGCAGAGTCAAACAAGCTGATTTTGTTCTGATTGAACTTGTACTTATACTTTTCCCACAGTCTTCTTAAGCTTGTGGCTGCAGTTCTTTGATAATTGAACAGTCACCTTTAGAAGACAACTGGAGGACAATCGCTCGTCTTTAGCCAAAAACACATTTTCAGTGTAAACGTGTTAATGCCTTATTTCTCTGAGCGGCAGAGGCAGCATTAATTAATGTGTTTACAAAGCATTAGAGAAAACCCGGATCACTCTCCTACTCCAGCGTAATTAAATTTTAACAAAAGGGCTCGTACACTCAGTCCATTTGGTTTCACTGAATCAAAATATTTCTACTCCCACTTTGCCTTTTCGCCTGGATCCTCCTGAGACCAGGCCAGCAGATGCATGTAGGAGCTGAGGGAAAAGACTCAATCACCGCGATAACGTCCATCTGTGCTTGTTTCATCGTTTTGATTTGGTTTTCGTTGTGTCAAACAAAAGACTTCATCTCGACTCGTCAGTGATGTGTGTTGTCATGGAAACAGGACATTCGTACAGAGGCGCAACGCAGGGGTTTTGTGCATAAAAGTCCTTAAAAATCTGTGAATATTCTGTGACGGTAGCAGCTCTCGCCGTCCTCCGTCCTGTGGTCGTTAGTTCTTATTTGCAGTGAGCGGCCGACAGCGAGAACCGGTGGCCGCGCATTAAACGGCCGCATTATTGAGCGGGGTAAAAGGAAGAGGAACTGTTTCTCAGCCGGTCACGGATTTTCGAAAATGGAGATTAATTAGAGTTTGTGAATCTGGCTCCTTCCATAAAATTAACTAAATCAAGCTCCACATGTTTATAACGCTTGGACTGGCAGGTTTGACAGCGGTTTAGCAGCTGTGACGAAGGACGGCCCTCTACTGAGTGATTGACATGTGGATTAGCCAATCACAAGTGTTCATTTTCTGTGTTTAATTGACAGTTCATTTGTGCCAAACAGAAATCTCTTTAGACGTTTCCGAGTGTGTTCAGATCTTGGGGTTGGACTGAAGTCACATACCTGAGTAAGTAATGTTTATTTATATAGCGCATTTTACAGACCAAGGTCACTCAAAGCGCTATACAATGTTCAGTGTTCAGATATTCAGATTTGATGTATTCAGACATTTTAACAGTCATTACATAAGAATAGAAAATGTATACACTTTTTGTCTGAAATGGAAAAAGGAGAAGCTGAAGCTTGTTGCGGCTTTCCCCATTTACAAAACAACAAAAGCTGCCAATGTTCAGCTATACAATTTAGTTTTCCTGTAAATAACAAAACATGAAGCTAAATTCAACAAGCTAAAGTTAAGTTTCGTTATAAGTCCCATCGTTCCAATCTCTCCACACGGTGATGACAGAAGCGAGACACCTATTGTACATGTTTTTAGTGGTAGGGGAAACTGGAGCGCCCAGAGGAAACCTACGTAGACACGGGGAGAACATGCAAACTCCACACAGAAACCCTCCTATGTGTCTGTCACTGCCTCCAAAGAGGTAGATTTCAGTTGCAAGCTTCTAGTGGATGTAGGGACCCAAAATATGATCCACTGAAAATGCTTGAGGAAAACAATGACTGTGCTGACATACTTGCAATACCACCCCGGGCCTGTGGGGGTGGACCCAGAAAGAGAATCATCCAATGCTTTTGTTTGGCGTCGTCTTTCCTCTCGAAAACCTCTTTACTTGATGTTTCAAAAGTGGTTCTTGGTCCAAAAGTGGCTCTTGGTCCAAAAGTGGCTCTTGGTCCAAAAGTGGTTCTTGGTCCAAAAGTGGCCCTTGTTTCGAAAGTGGTTCTTGGTCCAAAAGTGGCCCTTGGTCCAAATGTTGCCCTTGGTCCACAAGTGGCTCTTGGTCCAAAAGTGGTTCTTGGTCTATTTTTTTGGACCAGCGCAGTTTAGCCGCTGTGGACTTTTGAATGCGCTCATTAAATGAATGGGGCTTGTGCAGCTGACGCATGCGCAAATGCATGTTTTTAGATTTTCCAGCCCCGCGGCCATTTTGAAAGAGCCCATAGAAGCCAAACATTTCAATGGCGGGTCTGTTGATATTTACAGTCTATGGGCAGCACATGTCGATAAACAGACGACAACATGAATGTGAGCATGGCAAAGAGTAACTTCCATCCCGAGTCCGAGAGGATCCAGAGCTGTAGTCTCAGATGTGCCGTGGGGCCTGAGGTTCTGAAGTGTAGTCGTTGAAGTATTAATTATGTCCAACAACTAACTTGTGGTGTTATGTCGCATTTAAACCCCTGCATTTAGTCCCACTTTAATTCCGTCTTCCTCTTTGTTGGCTATCAAAGCGGGTGATTTGAGGTCCGCGGCTCAACTTAATGAGAAAACGATGAGTTATTGTGTTTTGTGTCCCAGGAAAGCACACACTCTTGCCGGAAGTGTTTGTGTGTAGGTGTTTGTGTGTGTGTGTGTGTGTGTGTGTTTGTGCGCGCTGCCCAGACTGGGGGAATAGTTTGCTTTGATGTAAAATGCCTTTAGGTGCATAATGCAAATAGGACAGCACAGTATAGACTTTATATTAGAGTTATATGTGTCTCGGC